GGAGCAGCCGACCGCGGACTGAACCCTCTGAGACCATGATCCCAGTTCAGCATCTCCTAAGTTATTTTTCTTGGGCGTTTTAATACAGCAACAGGGGGCTGGTTAACACAGTACCCGACCTGGAAATATCCATATCCACAGACACAAAAGTCAGCATGTGACAGATCACAAGCAGCCCTATTCACGGTAGTCCTAAAGCAGAAACAACGTAGGTGTCCACAGTAGGTGAATGGATGAACAGCATGGTCCACTGTGGAATATTATGCAGCCATGAAAAGGAGCAAAGGTCTCTCTAATACAAAGTGGATGGATCTTGAGGGCGCAGGGCTCAGTGGAGAAGCCCAACATGAAAGACCCTCAGCGTGGGACTGTGTGGGTAGACTTCGGCAGACCTGAGATGGGCATGGCAGCTTCCTTCTGAGGTGCCACACGCTCTGAGTGGATGGTGCTGACGGCCACTCACCCCTGAGGCCGAGCCTGTGGCCTTCGAGTTGTCTGCTTAAGCAGAGGGTGATCCGTGGGGTCTGAGCTGGGTCACAACGCACCTATTTTTTGTTTTGTGCAACCAGGGGTGGAACGCAGAACCTTGCGCTTGTGAGGCAGGCACAGTGGCACTGAGCTACATCCCCTGCCCCTCAATGGACCTGTTTTTAAAAGAAAGACCAAGGGCCGGGGATGTAGCTCCGTGGTTCTGCCACCTGCCACCACGTGCAAGGTCCAGAGTTTGATCCCCAGTACCAAGAAAATAAATGCATAAAGGAAAGACCAGGGAAGGGGTGGCAAGCAGCAGCCCGGGCCGGGCGGGGGGGGAGGGCGGCATCATGTGAAGAGGTGGGACATCACAGGGCTCCCGGGTGAGCAAGTGGGGAAACCGAGTCACCTCACACTTTCAGCTCGAGCTGAGACTTGGGGTGTATCGCACCGGCGGTGTCTGGGGGTTCCCGGGCCGCTGACCGTCGCCCAGAAAGCCCCGCCTTGGGGTCACCCTGCCCTGAGCTGCCGTGGCGGGGCAGGGTCAAGGGCGGCCACGTCCTGACCCCAGACTGGGGACCTGACTGGAAACCAGGTCTCTGCCAGGGAAGGAGAGCAGGCTCTGGAGATGACGCCGGCCTGCCTCGACCTCCTGAACCCAATGGCAGCGTCCTCACGAGGGGCAGAGGAGGAGATGTAGACACAGACACACGGACACAGACGTGTGGAGATGGAGCCAAGAACTGGAGCGACGGCCACAGCTGAGGGCCACCTGGAGCCCCGGGAGGAGGCGGAGGCAGGAGGGTCTCCCGGGAGCCTGTGGAGGGGGCTTTCCCCGCCGCATCCCCGAGGCACCAAGGAACCTGCAGAGCTGCCCAGCGCAGCCCCGGGGAACAGCTAATGTGCAGCTGGGCCAGCCTTGCATAACTTGGGTTATTTTAGGCCTTCGGCCGCCGTCCCTGCCCCTGCCCCTGAGCTGAGGGACCGGGAAGCCCCAGGCACGCGAGGGATGCGCTGCCTGACCCTCCCGGCACCTGCGCTTGGCTGCATCCAAGCTCCGAGCCACTGTGCCGCCCCCACAGGTGCACCTGGACCTCAAGCTCCTTTGGCCCGACCAAGGGCGCTGTGGGGGTGGTCACGGGTCGTAGGGGGGCTGCACCCCGCCCTTTTCATGTTTTCAATTTTGAGACAGGGTTTTGCTGAGTTGCCCAGGCTGGGCTCAAACTTGCAATCCTCCTGCCTCAGCCTCCCTGAGTGCTGGGATGACAGGTGGGCACTGCTACCCTAGGTTTAGACACTGCATTTTGGGGGGGAGAGGGAGCAGAGTCAGTGGTGTTTCTCACTGCCCCAGTCCACGCCTGCCGGCTGTGGGAGGGAAGAACTTTTGTACCTGGCCCATAGAGGCCAGTGACAGAGATGACTGAGCAAGGCTGGCGATGCAGGTGTAAAGTTTCCTGTCGAGTTGACGTTCCTGTGGCGGCCACTGCAGCAGAGCCGAAACTGGGTTACACAAGTGGGTTATGCCCTGCACAGAACTTTCTGACCCACTTAAACCCACGCCTGGATGCACAGCCCTGAGCAACAGCAGCTCGGCCCCTGCAGATGCACAGAGGCTGCACGGAGACCCGGGACTGGGGCTGTCACTCCACGAACTTTCCAGAAGGGGGAGGGACGCTGATGGATAGATGGATGGTGAGGGGGTTGACAAGATAGAGGGGTGGTAGGGAGATACTGAAGGGAGAGACAAGAGAAGGAGCCGGGGGGTGGGTGGATGGGTGGATGGGTGGGTGGGTGGATGGAGGGATGGATGGATGGGTGG